GGTTGGCTGGACCTGATGAAGGGCAATCGCGAGGTCGTCTAACTTTCGCTCGGTAAGCACATCGTACACGAACTGGCCTTTGAGGTTCCGACAGCGATCCGAGGCCCCGAAGGCGCGCAGGGCCTGTAAAGCCGGCAGCGGATTCACCCCCCGCGCGGCCGCGAAGAGCAGCGGCGTCTCCATTTGATTATTCCGAACCTCCATCTCCAGCCCGAGATCCAAAAGCGTCCGCAGAGCCTTCAGATTGCCCATTTCCGCCGCGTGGTGGAGGATGGTATTGCGGTTGTCATCCACAACTCGGATGTTGTCGCAGATATCAATCCATCGTTCAAAGAACGCCAAACTTTCTAATCCCATCAATTCTCGGGCATGACCTACATCTTCGCCGTAAGTTCTCATTGATAGTGTTGTCTAAAATACCCTCCCTAACTCTTATCAGAGCTTTCAAATATATATATATATATATAGATAGATAGATAAAATCAAAGACAAAAAATAGTTATTTCATCACATAGAATATTTTGAAGCTTTGAGCACACTCCCCCCCCAAAAAAACAGGATAATGCATAGTTAATAAATTACCATGTAATCCAAAATACAAATAACTAAAAAATACTGCCATCGTAAAGCTTACAGTGGGCACCATAGAACCGCATAAAAATGCATTAGAAATGGTATGGCTTCCACTTTTCTAGGTTTACACCCAGACGTTCGGCACCGATGCGCTATAAAAATAATGTCTGACGCCTGTTTAATTATTCAGACCGGGGATAAATAATAACTGAAGAAGACGTCAAAGAAAAGAAAAAGTTCTGAGTGCCCAATATGGCATATGAAACGGTAGACTACCATCTGCAGTGGAAATATTGAAATAGACTCTTCAATATCGTTTGTGCAGAGTTCCCATCTTTTTCCCTTTTCGTTGTCGAGGATGGAAGGGGTGAAAGAAAAGAGGGAGTAATTTTTTTAGCTTAGACATGCCTTGTATACTGGGTTTGGTTGATTAAATCGCGGCATCGGTGTAAATACGATGTCTAAAGGTGCATCTTGTTCTTCATTAATATAAGGGGTACCGTGACTTTCTTTTGATTTCTCCCTTTCCCCTGAGTCTCCGCCACACGAGTATTGGTTATGGAGATCGGGGTCCATTAATGACCAACACTAATATTAGAGCCTTTAAAAGTGAGACTACTTACCCTCGAGGATATTATTTTGCTCCTTTATTTTCGAGTTCACCTCTTTCACCTCATCCCCTCCACCGATCTCAATCGGATTGGACACGCTACTAACACAAACCCTTATCAAAGGGCCAAGGGCTTGGTGAAAAAAATCCAACAACTGCTTTGGATCGACGCGTGTGGTAGATAAGTCGCCATTAGTCACCAAAATGGGCGGAAATTTCAGAAGGGTGCGTTTGAGCCAAACAATTTCCTTGGGGGCTAGACAGGAAACCGAAAAGGTCGCCACCCCATTGCCTTCTACCTCGCGGGAGCCCGTTTCGCTGTCCTTTTCTCGTAAAAAATGAACGTGCGATAGTAAAAATGTCCGGATTTTTTGAGGATCTTTGGTGTACTCCGGGGTCACAATCTTGCAGTGTTGACCCATCCATTCGAGAAAACGACTTGCGGAATGGCAGTAAGACGGCTGCGCGAGCCGCGCACTGCATTCAACGGCTTGAAGCGATCGCATCAAGCCTTGCGCAATCCAGTCGAGAACTAAACGATGAACCTTCAATTTCGCCTCCCGCTCTAGTTTGTTTTCGGAAAGGATGACGTAATCAAAAAAGCCAAACTTTGTATCGAGCTGTTCTTTGTAGGTGCAAAGTTGTCGGGTTATGAGCTGCACCTGAAGATCTTTCAGCTCGGTTAGGAAGGCGGATTCCGCGGGGGGGAGGATGTATTCGACAATCTTCGAGACGGCCAGGTCGAAGGGGATGTTGTAGAGCACACAGTGGTAGGAGAGCTCGTCGACTTCATCGTCCGGGACTAATGTTTTGTTTGCTGACATGAGGATACTAATGAAAAAATAATGTTTATAAAGTTAAAGGGAAAAAAAAGAAAATATGGGGTTTACAACGGAAGGAAACCAATAAGGATGAATCGAAGTCGTTTTTACGGGATCGTTCTAATCACCAAGTGAAAAAAAGTAAGAATCTTTCAAGTTTGTTTACACCAAAGAGTGTGACGAAATGTGGAAAAATATGAATACCAAAGAGGAATGATCCGCATTTTGCCCTTTCAAATTTTTAACGTTTTGTATCCCTTTCTTGCATGGGTCGTTGGGATTTTGAATCACGAAAGTGCTTTCCCTCATTTCGATAAACGTTTAGCGCTTCCGCGTAGCGCTCCACGCATCTACCAATTTCATTCCTTCGTCAACAGAGATGATGCGCACCCCATCCAGCTCCATCTTCTCGCTCAATTTAACGATAAAGTTCGAGATACTCTCACCGGAATGCTTAATATCAGGTGGGGGATGTTGTTTGATTTCTTTCAGCAAAACGTGGTATAAACGAGATGTTCCCTTCACGTTCTGCCGACCCATCTCCCCATAAACCTCCCAAAAGGCTTCCCAGTCTTCCAAGTAGCGTACATGTTGAATAAGAAGCTCGTAGGTTTTACTGTTGGGCGGCACACACCATTGTGGGGGAAGAATCGGGCCGTTATCCTCCGCACACGTGGGCGCTTCCAAGGTTTCGACGGCGTCTGGACCTTCTGTGTTGTTCGGTTTGTCCGCCTTTGCGCGAAGCGCGTTTCCGCGGAATTCAACCAGCAAGGCGTTAAACTCATCCACACGACTTTTATCCCGTAAAAGGTAGAGCATCTCGTTATACAAAGAGGCTGTGCGTTGGTCAGTTGGGCAAGCATCAAACCATATTTTCGCCTGAGCAATCCTTTGATTTTTGTAGTTTTCATATTTCGCTTTTCCTTCATTCAATTCTTCGACGTCTTTTTCACCATCAAGAGGGATTGATTCATTTTTTTTGAAGTTTATTGTGGGTGGGGGATCGTTGCTCAAGAGATATTCTGGGTTATGCAAGGATGCAATCAAGCTCGAGTAAGTATCGGTGCACTTTGAAATTTCGAGCTTTTCCATCACGGCCAAAATGCGTTGGGTTTTATTCAAGGACTGCGACACACGAAGCAGGCCGTTGAAATCTCCCACCTTCAGCAAATTGCAGTTTGCGGTCGCACTATTTCTATCCTCATTGTGAAAATATGAGCGTTGAGCATCTTTCACGACTTTCCCATTAATGGCCTTATCCGTGTGTGCGACAAGAGGGAGGGATGGCGACTCCTGAATAAACTCCGTGATACGCGCCAGTTGCGTAGCGCGCAGGTTGTAGTCTTGGAGGGAAAAGCCCTTCTTTTTGGCAATTTCCTCCAGTTCAATCAGAAGTTGACGCCGCAGTGCTTTTTCGTCACTAAGTTGTCCAGTTGTTGCCGTTTTGTCCGTATACACCATGGTTCCCGCACTCCGTTCATTGCCACGTCGTATCAGAGAGATATAAGAGTTAACCGTTTTATCGTCCATATGATAGTCCATAAAACCGATCGCCTTCATGACAGCCCAAACCCGTCGAACCTCCTCGAGGCGCCTCTTTGTGAAGAGCAAGCTGAGGAGTAGATAGTAATGCCGCCCGTTCCACCGCAAGATCCCGGCCAAGATCTTAAACCCCTCGTTCCGCACCATGGTCGCCGAAGTGGCGCCGGACTGGGCCGGTGGGATGACCCGGTTCATGCGCTTGAGCGCCTCAAAGCACTGCGCCTCCTTGTCGCCGATGGATTCCTGGAGGGCCTGGAGGGGGGCGTCGCCCGCGGCCGTCACGACGCACTGGCGGATGGCCTGTTTGACGGCCC